CCTCCCTGCAGCCCTCCCTTTTCCCAGAAGCTTCTCTTCCTCCAGCACCGCGGTGGCCCTCCGGGGAACCTGTGTTCTCAGCTTCCCTCAGACCTGGCCCCTCCCCTGCAGTGTCCAGCCAGAACCAGGGTCTCGGGGGTGCAGCGGCTGGCCTATCTCCCCTGGGGACTGGCCTCCTCCTCTGCCCACTCCCTCTAGCTGTGTCCAGCACAGGGGACAGCCAGGATGCCATAGGCAAGGCGCTGCCAGACCTGCCACCCTTCAGGGTGAGGGCAAGGCAAGGGCTTGGCCCAGGAGGTTGGATTCCATGTGCTCTCTGGGAGAGGAAGACGGAAGGGCAGGAGATGGGCTCTGCAGGGCAGCCTGTTCTGCAGACGCAGCCATCAGCCTGGTGACGAGGGACACTCCCCAGGAAGGGGGAGAGTGGACAAGCCTGGACTGTTGGTGCGGCGGGGTCTAGACGGGACTCTAACTTTGACTCAAGGTCAAACCAGGCAGGGTGGAGGAGCAGGTGGAGGGGAGAAAGGGCCTTCAGCTCATAATGGACGTGAAGCCTCAAAGCTCGGCCACCTGGCTTTTTCCATGTCCTGTGGCCAGGAGCAGGGGTCACGGTCTCAGGGCCTGCCGCCCTCCCTCCCCGCAGTCCACGGGGCCTCAGACTTGGGGCGGCTGAAAGTGCTGCGGGTCAGGCCCCCGGCCCAGGCCAGGTTCCTAAGAGGAAAGTCGAGTGGGGGCTGGGGGCCTGCAGAGCACGGGCGTGGCCAGGGCCCCGGGTGGGGAGGGCGCAGGGACGGGGCAGAAGGAGCCCTGTCATGTGGCCCAGGAGATGGCCGCACTGTGCTCCTTGGCCTTCATGCGGAGGGCCGCGATGCTCGAGGTCTTGCGGTCCGGCTCGCCGTTGAGCTCGTAGCCGTTGAGGCCTGGGCTGAGGCCGGCTGCTCCGAACAGGCTGCCCATGTGCGTCTGGCCCACGTGACTGCCAGCCCCAGAGACACTCAGGAAGTCGGTGCTGGCCCCAGAGCCGGGGGGGTGCGCGTGAGGGGACATGCAGGCAGGCACCGGGTCACAGGGGACCACGCAGGCAGGCACTGGCGAGGCAGCCCCATTGTTGCCGATCCAGGACGGGTTCTGAATCTGGGGAGAGGGAAGGGAGGGGTGTCACAGGGTGGTGGAGGGGGTGGCATGGGAGGGGCCTCGCCCCTCAGACGACCTCTGCCCCTCCCGAGTCCACAATTAGAATGAAACCCTTCCTGAGTGTCTAACCTTGACAGATGCCCAGACGGCCCGAGGGGGGCTGGGTTTTATGCTTTGGCGCCTCTGTTCGCAGGGCCAGGCTAGCGGCGGACAGACATTTGGAGGTCAGGACTGACTTCCAGCTCCATCAAGGGGCCAGGAAAAGGGCTCCCCTGGGGGCACGGCACCCCCCTCAGCCGGACTGGCTTCCTACTTTGAGACACAGTTGTGGGCTTTGTCGCTCCATCTGGGGACAGCAACTGTGTCTTATTCACCTCTGACTCCGCCACAGGCCTGGCACATCCGCAGTACCCGACCAAGGTGAGCTGGCCTCCACTCCGAGAGCTTTGGAGTGGGGCACACAGGGTCTGGGCCTGCAGGTTGCAGGGGTGAAGGGGGTGGGGGCAGGAAGCAGAGGCCTGAATCCTCCCAGAAGCCAAGGTCAGTGGCCGAGGTTCTAGAGACCGAACTCCTAAGGCTTCAGAACTAGCTTAGGATGGAAGGGGCTGCCTCAGAAGTGGGCAGCAAGAGCCGAGGCTGGACGCCCACATGCCACGAGCTGCACAGGCACGGGGTGGGGGGTGCACTGGATGTCTCGTCCTCCATCTGTGCAACTGTGCTTTCTTTCCCTCCCCAGCTTCCACTTCGGGCTTCCATCTTCCTCTGACCCCTAAGCATTCATGGGGTGTGGAGGAGCAAGTGGGAGGAGGAGACTCGTGCTCCCCTCAGCTTTTGTGCACGGGATTGTGAGTATTCTCAAGCCGGCTTCTGCTGGCCCGTCCTCCCTGAGTGTTTGGAGTGCACCCAGGGGTGGCATTTAAAAGCAGAGTGGAGAGGGAGCTCGGCCCCAGATCCCACAGGGCTTCGTGATGGCAGCAAGAGCTGTGTGCAGACTGGCCGTGCCACATTCCTCCCTGCTGGCTGGGTGATGGGGAACTGGTTGGCATCTCAACGCCCGCTCTTGGAAGAGGCCTGGGTGTGCGCTAGAGGTGCTGCAGGGAGAGGGGTGAGCAGGGCCCTGGGTTGGCTTTCTCTCCCAGTTGGGGGCTCCGGCAGCAGAGATCAAAGCCAAGCAGCGGAGCTAGCATTCTATCCTGGGGGACCGAGGAAGGCTGGGTTTGGGGAGGGAGAGAGGGGTAAAGGGAATGAAGGGACATAGCGGGAGCTAATGCAGATGGTGTGTATGAGACCCCCACATTCCTCAGCGTCACCTCCAGGCCTGCCCTGCCCCATGAATCCTGAGGGGCGGGTACAGAGCTGGTCAGGGTGGGGAGCCCCGAGACCACTCGCCAGCACAGCACCAGGGCAGGCGGGAGGAAAGGAGACTTAGGAACGCCCGTGCCACTGCTGGCCGTTGGGCAAGGCCAGGCTTGGAGCGGAGGCAGAGGCCACCAGGATGAGCAGGGAGGGGGCGGCTACCTCTGCGGGACAGGCGGAGGGCGTCGGAGCGGACTTGGCCAGAAACACACCTCTCCCCGAGTCCTGGGTGCCCAACACTACTCACAATGCCTCCCGCCCCTTGGCATCTCACTGAGGACTCGAATGACACTAGAACAGGGACTCACGGCCAGACATCCAGGAAGATGCTCTTGGGGAAGGCAGGAGAAGAGGGGACAGAAGCCTGGGAGCGCCGAGTGCGGGCGCACTAACTTTTTTAAACTGTACAATTCAGCAAGCTCTTTTGCATGATCTAATTTGGACCTTATGGCAGCCTTATAAAAGCCTTGGGCAGATACTTCTATCGTGTCCAATTTACAGGTGAAACTGAAGCTCAGAGAGCTTGGGCCTCGCCTGAGTGAGAAAGACCCAGAGCTGGGAAGACATCCTGGTCTTGGGACTCAGAATTCCCGGCTCAATCCAACCTGGCCACGAGTCCTCCAGGCCCCAGAACGCCCTTGCAGAGGAGACACTGTCAATGATCTCCGATGGCCTGGAGACCCCGGGCTTCTCCTGCCTCGGTTCTGATGCCACAGCACAAGTGGCCGGAGCAGCAGAGGAAAGAGCTGCTCTCGCTGCTCCAGCCTTCCTTTCCCAAAGTCCAGCCAAGCCTGGATCAATGACTGCTTGGCCCGAAATAGCCCTGGGCCTCCCACATTCTGGTATAAACAGGCACACCCCTGGAGTGGGACTGATGGGCAGCCTGGAGCCTGAGTGTTGTCTCAGGGAACCTGGGCTGTCCTCCAAGGGGCCCATTCTCAGAGCTCCAGGGGCTGGGGGTCGCAGGGGGCAGCTTGGGGTGGGACGTACCTGGGCGTAGTTCTCAGCTCGGGCAAGGAGGGGCAGCTCGTAGGCAGTGGAGAAGTGGGTTCGAACCTGCTGCATCTGCCCAAAACGCTCCCTCTTCCTCCACTTGGCCCTCCGGTTCTGGAACCAGACCTGCAGGACACAGCAGTTATCACAAGGGTCAGACCTGGAGGCCTCACCGGCAGGCAGTGCAAACTGTTCGCTTGAGACCACCAGTCTCAGAGCACGTGGGAGCCAGGAGGCCACAGGTAAGTGTCAGCCTCGGTCTTTGTCCTCAAGAGTTTACTATCTAGAATCATCAACTGAGTGGGAAGGTAGCTCACCCCCAACTAGCCAGGGCTGTGATCTTGGGTTGGTAGCTTCATTTATCTAAGCTTCAGAATTTAGAGCAGGCAAGTGTAGCCCACCCGTGAAACAGGTCACAGGTCATCTTAGTAGTCATCTAACCCTCTTGGGTCACAGACTCCTGTGGACAATCTGGTAAAACGTACGAATGCTCCTCCAGAAATTCATTCTAGACAGTCACACACAGTTTTGTCAGTTTTCCAAAAGGCTCGTGGCTCAGAAGTCCTACCTCCTGCATCCTCTCCCTCTGCAGCCTTCTTGTAGGAAACAAAGTCTCCCGGCTCAGAACACCCATGTGTTAAAGTGAGCGAGGCCCCGTGGGGTAAGAAGAGCTCTGCTGGGCAACCCAGGCAGTCAGGGAAGGTTTCCTGGATGAGAGGACTGGAGCTGGGCCTTGGGTGGTTGGCTGGAAGGAGGAAAGCCCAGGCCTGAGTTTAGAAACAGCAAGGTACATTAAGAAGACCTGAGGAGGCCAGTTTGCGGGATGTGGTAGGAAAGACAGAAACATGGAAGCTGGAGTCAGATTGTGGAGGGCCTCGAATGCCGAGTGAAGGGCGTCGCCTCGGTGCTGTCCATAGAGGTGGCCACTGCAAAATCTATACAGAACAGTGGCCTGATGCTGGGAAGGAGCGGAGGGCCACCTGTCACTGAGCATGGGTGGATTGGACGTTGGCTCGACTAGGGAGGAGAGGTCTCTGAGTCAGATGTGCGCACCAGGGTGTTTGGTGGGCGGGGGGCGGGCAGTGTTGGGTCCTTTTTCTTTGCAGGAGCATTTCTGGGAGACTGAGAACTCTCCCAAGGCTCACAGGCAAGGGCTCAGCTTGGGGCCTGCTAACCTGGCCCCTGACTTGGGGTTTGGGGAGGGTTGAGTGGGTGGGGAGAGGACGGAGGGGTCGGCTTCCAGGCCAGCAATGGCTTCTGGCTGAGTCAAAGGCAGACCTCAGTGCTCTTCTCAGAGGGAGATTCCTGCCAGCTCGATGTGCACCTGCCGCGGGCGTCGCAGACCCAGATGCAAGGGGCAGTCCCCAGACAGCACCCCCCAGCAGCCCTGCAGACAGCGGCACAGAGCCGCAGGGGGTCTTGCCAGGCTCCTCTGGGCCCAGAGACTGAGAGGGCCGTCTCACGAGGAACGGTCCCTGCCCTCTGGCTGGAAACGCTTCCCTAGCTCACGGCTGCCAAGCTACATAGGAGGAGTCGTGGCTCAAAATCCCTCTGCCTGAGAGCACCTGAGCTTCCTCGTTAGCCACCGAGACGGGGGGAGAAGGAACTGGCCTGGGGTGCGGACAGGCACCCACAGAGCTGCCAACAGAAGGGCCCACGGGCGCGCCGGCGTGGCTGAGGCCTCAGTTTCTGCACCTGTAAGATGGGGCCCACGTCTGTCCCGACCTCTTCTCAGGAATGGTGCCTCGTAGGAGCGGCAGGTGACAGAGACAGATGGGAGACGCATCAGGGAGTGTTCGGAGCGCCTCCCCTCTGCTTATTTATGGCCCTGCCATTTCTCCCTGTCTTTCACTAGGGGGAAGAGGTCCGTGAAGATGGGCTGTGCCCCACGTTAGTGCGGGAGGGCGGGGTGAGCTGGGGTGTGGGCGGGACACTGGTGTGTTTCTCCACTCCTGCTCCGACTCGCTCTCCCCTTCCTGACCCCAAGCATACATGTGTGTGCACGAGTGTACCCATGCGTGTGTGCACGTGCGCACTCACACTGCCCGTGGTGTAGGAGGAGCGCTCTTCCTGTGCCTTCCCTAGAGACAGGCCCTCTCCCCAGCCTGGGGTCTCAGCCCCTGCCCCGGGGCCTCCCAGGGCCCCTTCTCCTCCAGGGCTCCGGGGGTCCAGGCCCAGGCCTCCCACTGGGAGCCGAGGGCAGATGAGGTCTCCGCTCTGCACTGCTGAAACGGGATCCCCCTTTATCAGCGGCCTGGGATGGGAGACGCGGCCAGGATGAGAGAATGAATCAGAGGAGCTTGTTTTCATTTCATGTTTAATTTCCTGCAGGCTTAGCTCCGTCTTTCCGCTCCTTCCTCAGCCTCCCAGGGTTTTCTGCGGGAGAAACCGGGGGGGAGGGGAGAAGCCCACTAGAGGCATAGAGATAAATGGCTTCCCCCTCTCTCTTCACGTCGCTGACACTGCTGGGGCTCCCCGTGTGCCTCTGTGGGTTCCAGGGCCCCGTCGTGGGTCGGAGGGGGTGGGAGGGGTCCCTGCAGGCTCTGGAACAGGGAATTCAGGGGTGGCTGGAAGGGACCCTGAGGGGAGAAGGAGGTGGCCTGCCTCTGGCAGAGGGGGCTGGAGTGGAGGGGGCGCAGCAGGGGATAGAATGCGGGGTGGGGCGGGTGCGAGGGAGGAGGAGACGGGTTATCTGGGGAAGATGAATGACCAGGCGGGGGAGAGCAGCAGAGATAGCCCCGTCTTTGGCACGGGAGTGGAAGAGGGTCAGGCTAGGGGTTTATGCGAGGGCTGAAGGTGGAGATAGGGGAGGTGGGAGAGCGGCTGATGGGGGTGGGAGTTCGCCGCCTCCCCCTCCTCCTCCATGGGCTCCTTTGTCCCGGCCTTACCCTGTGCACAAGGCCGCAGCTCTGGCTCTGGTTTTTCTGCCCAAATCAAGACTTAAGCTCACTTAGCCTGGCTCGCCTTCAACATCCTCCCCCGTAAGTGTGGCAGGGGTATCCTTCCATTTCTGACCCCTGGGGCCCTGGGGCCCTGAGATCCCCCCTCCGGATGCCACACCAGCCCCACAGCCCGCCTCTGTGCCTCGGGCTCTGCAGCCGCAGCCGTCTCCCCCACGCAACCCCAGGGCGGACAGCCAACCGCAAGGTCCCAGCCGCTCTTCCATCCTGAGTGTCGCACCCCAGGACCACCCCGCTCCTGGGCCCACCCTGGCCTGGGCCTACTCAGCACAGGCCTCTCCCGAGGACGGGGCTGTGCAAGGAACCAACTGTCTTGGCGGAGGCCTCGCTAACCGCAGCCCATCTGGGGCCAGGGCGGGGTGGCCTAGGGCGGGGAGGCCTCTGTCTTATTGTCTTCAGACACCAGCTGTGGAGATTGGAATCCCAGACAGCAGAGAGAGGCCCCTGCAGCCCCTGGAGCAGGGCCAGACCCCTGCTTCTTCCCAGGAAAAGTCCATCTTGGGGCTCCCATCGCCCCCCACCCTGTCCCCACTGCCACTCTACGCCAGGCACCTGGCTGGCCACCAGCTGAGTATGGGCCCTGAACAAACGCAGCACAGACAGGCGGGGGGCGTTCCATCACAGCCCCCTCACCCCCTGAGGGCACTGCCAGGCTCAGGGCTCAACCCAGAGGTCTGACGCACATGAAGATCCCACCCACCCTGCTGCCTGTATACAAAGAAAAGCCTCTGAACAATCTGGCATGTGTCCTGGTACAGCAAGCTGAAGTCATAGAAGCACTCCTAGACTCTAGTCCCAGCACTGCTACTGAGTCAGTCACTGCTGTTAACTTCAGGTGATCACTTCCCATCTCTGGGCCTCTTCTTCCTCCTCTATCAAACACTACCATTCTATAATTCTATGATCCTCCCAATTCATGATAAGGTGTGCAACATATCAGGGTTTCCCTTTCTGCCTTGGCTGCCAGGAAGCTCAGGTTGAAGTTTGTGCTCAACGGCAACTATGATCCTTAACCTAGATTGTTACCAAATTACCTCCCCGTTTCATGCTATTGTTCTTTTTCTTAGATTGAAATAGTACATCTTTAATGGTAAGCTGCCCAACTCTATTTTGGCAGTGGGCCTAAGTACGTCTGTGTGTGTGTGTGTGTGTGTGTGTGTGTGTGTGCAGAGAGAACACTCCGTTTTAGCTGCAAGGTGACTGAAAACTGCTCTGTGTGCCTCAGTGTCACGTCCATGTTTTGTACTGAAAGGGCCACCTTTCTTTCAATACTCGGGGAATTCCACTCCTGGGCACTCCCAAATGTGTGTTAGGAAGCACGTGTGCAACACACATACACACACACCTACGTACACACGTACTGGACAGAAAACGAAGCGGTTTATCCCATAGCAGCACAGCGCCTGCAGGTGTGCGCTAACCCGCTGCGCCTTTCCCGGTAGATCCTCCCAGACCCGCCGCGGGAGCTGAGGCTGGGTCTGGGCTCCTGTCCGGACTCTGGCATGTGAGGTCACGTGGGTGGCTGGTTATCCCAACTCAAATACAGCATGAGCGTGCAAGCCGCGGCTGCCCTGCCCGCCTCCCTCAGCCCCCTCCAGGCACTCCTCAGCCCCGCTCCGGGTAGCTGTTCCCAGACAGCTACGCGGTTACTGACAACCGCCAGGCCTTTCTCAATATCGCCAGCGCCTCTGCCTTATTAAGCAGAACGTGGCCGAAACTGAAGAACCTTTTATCGACGCCTTAGAACCGCGCTGCTTAGCTTCTTTCGTGAACTAACGCAGCTGCGCCCGTGGGGCCTGCCGAGGAGAGCAGGGGCCTCCCTGTCCAGATCGCTGTGCTGTGCTGATTTTTTTTAAAAACTCCCTCTTTGCTCTCAATCCATTGATCTCCCCGCCCACTGGAGGAGAGAAAACCGCTGTGTGACAACGCTGCATTTGCTGTTTCTAACATGGTTTGGCTGGAAAGCAGGCTGAGCATGTTTATTTTGTGGCAAATTGAACTCTGAACTTCAGTGCGTGTATTCTGGCTACTCCAAGGTCTTTGCTTTCTTTCTGGTTCTTTCTTTGTTATGATTTTATGTCGGGGAGGGCGGGGGTCACATCTCTCTGGACAAAGGGGGTTGACACAAATCTTTATCTTTTGCCCTTGTTGCTCTGAGTTTGGCCTTCTCTGATTGGCGGGAACACAGCGATGAACAATCAGGCTGCGCCTGACCTCAAGGACTCAAATTCTAGTAGAGAAAATAAAGTAACGTAAGCCGGCCGTACGTTCTATAAAGAAGACAAAACGGCACAATGGGTAGAAGGTGACCTGGTTTGGTTGTGTTGTGTTGGTTTGAATTGTGTTGTGTTGTGTTGGGTTGGGTTGAGTTGAGTTCTCTTGGGCTGTGCTGTGTTGGGTTGTGTTGCGTTGTGTGGGGTTGGGCTGGGTTGAGTTGGGTTGAGTGTGTTGGGTTCCAACACGTTGTGTTGTGTTGGGTGTGTTGGAGGTCGGGTGGTCGTGGGGGCTACTGCTTTAGCCGTGTTGGTCAGGAGGACTTCTCGGAGGAGGAGTGTTGACTTGGAACCTGAGAGACAGAGGAGGGGCAGCCATCCCAGGCAGAAGGAAGAGCTGGATTGTTCTCTGTGTCTGCCCACTGGATTACTATGGACGTCTTTGTGTTTGTCCCGTTTCCTGTCTAACAGACATGCCTTCCAGAGCAGGGACCAGTGTCCTTCCCTGTTGTGAAAGGTTCTGGACTCTCATACCGTGTCAAGCCCAGAAGCAGCCAGCAGCAGCTGTCCCGCCCCTGCCTGGGGGGGCCCTCCTTCCTTTTCCCCCACCCATGGCACAGAAGCCTGATATTATTGTGGATAAAAGCAGAGTTGCTCTGGTCAGGACGGGGCGTGAGGGGCAGGCTAGGCGCCCCTTCTTTTTCAGCTCCAAGTGGACCGGGGTGGAGAAAGCCCTGGCGTGGCTGCTGGACAGTCAGGAGACCTCAGTTGCAGCCGAGAGCCCACACTCCACCACGCCGTGCCCAGACGGCCCTCACTGACCTGCACGCGGGCCTCGGTAAGGTCCGTCCTCATGGCCAACTGCTCCCGCGCGTACACGTCCGGGTAGTGGGTCTTCTGAAAGACCTTCTCCAGCTCCTCCAGCTGGTAGCTGGTGAAGGTGGTCCGGTTCCGCCGCTTCTTGCCCTTGTTGCTCTCCGAGTCGGCCTTCTCCAGTGGGCTGGGGAGGTCGGAGCTGGCCCGGTCCTGGGGCCCCTTCACCCCAGCCTCCTTGACACCGAGGTAGCTGCTGTCCATCCCCACGGTGTCAGAGTCGGGTGGTAACTCCGGCTCACCCAGGGAGCTCTCTTTGGCTGAAGAAGAAGGAAACAAAGTCAGAAACCAGCGGCTGAACCAAGCAGAGAGGAGGGGGCAGTCGGGAGCCATCCCCTGCCCTTCCCCACTCAGAGGCTCATTGGGTGTGAGGTCAGGAGACTCGGGTTCTAATCCTGGCTTGCCATTAACATGCTGTGTGACCGTGGACAAGTCCCTTCCCTACTCTGAGCCTCTTCATCGTAGAATAGGTCCCTTCCAGCACCAATGTTATGGGCCCTGGCTCAGCCAATCTGACCTCTGTGACCTTTAATCCTCACCTCTCTGACCCTGAGCACCTCTCCCTAGAGAGAGTCCCTTTGTCAAGACTTTTGGGTATCGAGAATGCTGACCCTGGGTGGAAGGAGAAACCCATTCAGCAGCTGCTTCTGGCCCAAACAGGCTTGGGGGCGAGGAGGAGGGGCCGGCACTGTGGCAGACAGGAATGCCCCTTCTTTCAGCAGAAACCATGGAGACCCTGCCCCAAGAATCCAGTGCGGAGGGGTCACTTCCCCATGCCTGCCACCCCACCCTCCACAGCGGTCTCACCTATTGTCCAACACGGGGGTCTTTCTTCCTTGGGGGTGAGCAGGCCTGAGGCAGGGGCCACATTTCCTTTTACATGCACTGTCCTGCCCACTGCGTACTGAAGCTGTCACTGTCAGCATGCTGACATATGGGCCTGGGGAGATCTACACGGACACAGCTCACAGCCTGGGCCAGAACGGGGCTCACGGGCCAACTCCTAGGAGCTCAGAACTGGCAAGGATGGAGGAAGAGAGGGAGGAGGAGGAGGGGGAGGAGGGGAGAGGTGGGAAGGGGAGGAGGGGAAGGCCAGGATGGGAGGGTGGGGTGGGAAGTAGCTTGTCCAAGTCTAAAGAGCCCAGTTAGCATCCTTGGCAGATACACTCGCCTCCTGGTAGGGGGTTGAGAGCGTGGACTCTGTAGCCAGACACCAAGCTCTGAATCCTACATCTGTGACTCCCCAGCTCTGTACTTTGGACGGTTTACTTAACCTTTTTGTGCCTCAGTTTCCCCCTCTATAAAATGGGTGTGAAGATACTTGTAGAATAGTTGTGGGAAATAAAGAGGCTCGCGTGGAAAGCACTCGGCACGGTGCTGGCCATGTAGGGTTTGCCTGCTGTCATTATCCATATTTCTGGTCCGGACTTGCAAGCCCACAGGCCCCGTTAGGATTGGAGGACTCCAACCCTGGAAAAGTCCTCTAAATGTGAAGGCCCCGAGTACACCAGCTCGTGCAGGAGCATGCGCAGACACTTTGGGAAGGACACCCAACTGGTGTCTGGAGATGTGGGTGTGAACCTCTTTAGGCACATTCCCTTGTCTGTGACTTGGAGAACAGGAACCTTGTTGAGTGAAAGAATGTACATGATTAATACGACATGTGGGGGGAGCATTTGACAAGACCTTTTACATGCACAAGCTTTGATCACTACAACAAGCATGTGTGGTAGGTGTGAGCATCAACCACTCTGACCCTCAGTTTCTTCTTCTGGATATAGGTCCAAGCGATAGGCATTAAGGGTGATGCTCTAGCCCAGATCTTCTGACTCCATCCAGATCCTGGGGCCTGAGGCTTCAGATTCGAGCTCATCCCTGCTTTCTGTGCACACTGGGGAAGCTGAGAGGGACATTTTGCCTCTGTCATTCTCACCTTCCTCTCCAAGGCACCAAGGAAAGAGGACAGAGGTGAGTGTCCAGAGTAGGCCTGGAAGCAGCTTCCAGAGGCTGTTCCTGGTGACTGCTGACAGTGCAGACGCCATGGGGGTGGCAGAGCAGCCCAGAGGATCACGCACGACACCCATGTGAGCCCAGGCACAGGCAGACAGCCACGGCTTCAGTGATAGCGTTATGCAAACTGCAGCTGGCAGCCGGGCCAAGAGCTTTCAGCAAAGATATTTATCTTCCTGGCAGACAAATTTTATGTTTTGGGTTTTTTTGGTTTTGTTTTTTTGTTTTTTAGGAAAGAAATCCCACCCAGCCTCACCAAAAATAAACATCCCAGTTCTGCGACTTCCTGGAGGCCAGGCGGGGGGAGGCAGCCCCTGCCCCCTCCCGCCCCAGCACAAAGCCCCAGTCCCCGTCTCATCGCCCATGGACACTACAGCCCCCTCCCGCATCCAGCTTAGGACTGGGACCCCCCGCACAGCAGCGGGCTGGGGCTGGCAAGGGGTGCTCCAGGCTACAGGAGCAGAGCGTTGTAGGGGCCTGCCCCAAGTCCTAGTTTTAACTGGGGGGAAACTGAGGCTGGAGAGAGAAGGGAACCCGCGCTAATTATGGACAGAGGGCCTGTGTTCTGCTCCCTGCCCTCCCAGGGAGAGAGGTAGTGGCAGAAGGATCCCGGGGCCTCACGTGCCCACAGAGTCCTGCTCTGTTCATCCTGTGGGGAGAAGGCCCAGCCCCTGAGTCCGCGGGAGCAAGGATGCGGCCCTGAGACGGCCCCGCAGCACGGAGCTGGCTCAACTTGGCAGGGTAGGCGGCAGGACGTCCAGGCGTCCATGGTGACCAGTGAGAATCCGGTTTTGCCCACCTCCAGCCACCCACTGGGACCAAGCGATTGTGGAGAAGTGGACACAGCACAGGGTACACAAAGGCCACCAGCCCAAGAGCTGGGAGCCCTGCTGTCAGCGCCTGTGCCGCCCGCTCCACCTGTGACTTCAGATGACCCCTTCACCTCCGGGCGGAGCCAGCAGGGGTGGTTGTCGCTTGTCGCGGCCTCAGCCCGGTGCGTCCCCGCCACTTGCTCACCTGCAGGGCCTCCCGGTAGGACCTGGGACGGGGAGGAGAGGAGGGGGAGGGCGTGTCTGTGTGCAGATGGAGGGAGCCCCGGGGAAGGATGCTTCCGGGTCCTCAAGGAAGAGGAAGGAGAGCCTTCTAGCCTCAGTGTGGGTCGTCAGTCATCTTGCTTTGAATTCTGAGGCTGGTCCCTCATTTAGACAACACAGGACAACGCCGCAGAGTGGCCCCACTTACCCAGTCCGAATCCTCAGGCCTAAGATCCCAGACTCAGGTCAGCTATTTCCACTCCTCCCACCCTGCGGTGTCTCCACCAGGTGCTGCCATCGGTCCTGGGTGGCAGGGCGCTCACTGCCCCCAGGACAGCTGGATGGTTCGCCGTTAGGTCCCGCCCGTGCCTGTCTCCTGTGGGCCTGGCCCGTTGGTGCCCCTTCCCCAGATGGTCCTGTGCATACAGGAGGCCACGGCCTCCCTGAGTCTTCCATTCCCACTGCCGTGCCCCAGGCGGCCCTGAGTCCGCCGAGCCTGTTTGAGATGGTTGGGCCAGCAGAGTGCTCTCCAACAAGGTGGCCCGAGGCCTGCGCGCTGGTCAGAATCCAGCTCACCCTCCGGTGTCCTCAACGGGACAGCTGCTGACAACAGAGGTCCCACAACTCAGGCTGGGTTACTCCTGACCAAAGGAAACCGCTGACCTCCTTGGTCCCCTTCAGCCCCTGCCTCCTGCCACCTGCCTGGAATGTCCCTCCTTTCCAACTGACCTCCCCGATCCAGTAAAGCTCCTCCATGGAGCCCTCCCAGACTGCAACAGTCCTCTGTCTTCTGCCCACTCTCTCCAATTAGCACCTGTTTGCTGCCTGGTTTCTAATCAAGCTCTAAAGGGCCAACTCCTCTTATGGAACGTCAGTTCCCCAGGGGCTGGGACCTCATGCCATTTGTCCCTTCTCAGCCCATGGCTTAGTTGAGGACGGGGCAGGCAGCAGAAATGCGGTGAGAGGTTGCTGAAGAATGAATGAACAACTTGGAACAAACACCACGGGCTCTCGCCCTGCCCAGCCATGCGTGCATCCGCGGTGCGCCAGTGCCCTGCAGAGCATGCGCAGAACACGTCTGTGGAGCAAACGCACGAACCAGATCATCCCGCGACACGACAAGGCAGAGTCGGGGGGACTCACTTGAGAGAGGCACACACAGCGATGCCACCGTGGGGCTGACGGCACAAGTGGCGGACATCGCTGAAGGAGAGGGGGGAGGAGAGACCAAGGCAGACTTTGGGGACGTCTCCATGCAGGGAGCAGGACAGAAACGAGGAGGGCCAGGGAGACAGAAGGAGCAGCAAAGGGACAAGATTCATGGGGGAGGCTCGAGAATTGAAACCGATGTCCAGGAAAGCCAGTCCAGGGTCTTCCAGGAACTGACTCCATGGCCCGGCCCTGATGCCACGCTGGGGAGAGAAAAGGCCACCGGGGAAGTCTCAGCTCACCCAGCGCTGGCAGGAGCCGAGTAGCAGCGGGGCCCAGCCTGGGTCTAGGCCACCTGCCTGCAGGTCGGCCTCTCCCGCCCTCCCGGGAGCTGCTCCGCGTGGATCCAGCAAGGCCCTGTGCCGATGGCCCTGCCCGGGTGGGGAGGGGAGCCCTTGGAGGGGTTTGTCCCAGGGCCCAGGCTATGGAGGCCGAAACAAGGTCGTCCCCATGCGCAGCTTCCCCAGTCTTAACCTGGAGATAAACCCCGCACTACTCAGAACAGTCGAGTAATGTACACGCTTCACCGAGAGCAGCGCCCGCCCTGCGGAAGGTACGCGCTCGACGGTGGCCACTGTGGTACCGAATGGTCTTCAAACAGTCCGAGGCCAATATTACTTCCATAGATGACTTCTGATGAAGTGGGAGGCATTTGGTTCAAGGTTATATTCTTAATCAGGAGCCACAGAGGGCTGGTCGACCTCTGCCGGAAGTCCCCCAGGACCGAGCCCCACGCCACTCCGAGCGCCACCCGTTCCAGTGCTGGGCAGGCCTGGCTCTTGCGTTGCAGCAAGAAATGGAAAACCTGTCCTCATGGCCTCGACCTCTCCCCACTGGTCCCCGTTCAGCCCAGTGACCTCGCTCTAATCTAGTTTCACCTTTTTTGAACATGAAAGCCTTGAGAGATTTCTGAAAGTGACGATTTAAAGAGAACGAGCTTCCGAAGCCATTAGGGAGAGGGTGCCGGAGCATCTGTGTGGCAGTCTGCGGTTGCAGGCGGGCACGGG